ACGAAGAACTCATGAGTAATATGGGCCAAAAATTGACAAAAACCATATAGCAAATAGACATTGTTTAGTTAATATTATTTTCGTAGTTTATTTAGTGCATATTCCCTAATTCCTTATGAATTTGTCTTTTTGTTTTGAGGATTTCTCATATTATCAAGTAAAGTTAAATGATGTGGATATAGACTTTCTCATATTGTTACAATTTTGTTTCCACCTTGTCCACATTGAAATTAGAAAGTGTTATACACTCCTCCGATAGATGTAGATAATTTATTAAAATTCAATAATACACATATGAACATTTATTAAATATTATACTGTCACATATAATAAACAAAACTACAAATAGTATTTTATATTGCACATTATGCATAATTAATCTATATTTTAAAATAATTAAAATACTATTTTTCTAAAATTAAAACATATTTTTATATAATTTTAGTTAAACTTATAAAAATAAAAATTAAAAATGACAATTTCGACCAGTAACCCGTGTCCATATCTAATATCATTATTAAAAAAAAAAGGTTTTATTTTAGGACATAACACTTTAAATTCCAGCGGATAAAAATAAATAATTTACTGAAAATTTTGGGTGAAAACGAGTTCTCTGATTGGATGTATTATTTCCTCCAGGATCGTGGGAAAGGAACGGTGAGGATGCAAAGCAAATCTAAAATCCAGTGGACCAGATCGCTTGAAAGAAAGACAAATCCCTAAATTTCTATTTTGTCAGCCTCTTATTAGAACTTTCTTTCACTTTTTGACCCTTTTCCACGTCGTTATCGACTTATCGCTCAAAACCCTAATTGCTCTCCGATCAACCTCCGGTTCCATTTCCGGTCACCCTCTTCTCAATTCCGATCTCCGATCGATTGCATTCTTCGGGTTCAGAAAGAAACATAGCATCGATCTCCGACCTTTTCCACGTCGTTTTCACTCAAAACTCTGATTGCTCTCGGATCAACCTCCGGTTCCATTTCCGATCACCGTCCCTTTTGATTTCCGATCGAATTCCCTCCGTTTCGATTCCCTCTTCTCAATTCCGTTCGCAAAGATGGATAGCATCGAGGATATGGGACAGAACACCGTTGCTCTCTTGCCGGAACAACATCAAGAAATCGCTTCCGCTAGTAGTATCGAGGATATCGATAATTCAATTGGACAGGGCACTGTTTCTCTCTTGCCGGAACAAAAACCGCAGGAACAACACCAAGAACTCGCTGCCGCTAATATTGATGCTTCTGGTAAGTTTGTCCTGTGATTGCCTCAATGTTCTCTCCTATGTTTGCTCATCTCGATGTACTGTGCTTTCTTTGTGTAATATGCCTAACTAGGAAGTAGCAAGAACCTAAGCAAACTATTTTGATTCATGTTATGAGTGTGTTCAGATAATCGGATGCTTCTACTATGTTTTGGTCATGTCTTATGTACTGTGTTGTCTTTGTGTAATATGCCTAACTAGGAAGTAGCAAGAACCTAAGCAAACTATTTTAATTCATGTTATGAGTGTGTTCAGATAATCATATGCTTCTACTATGTTTGTTTGCTCATGTCTTATGTCCTGTGTTGTCTTTGTGTAAAATGCCTAATTAGCAAGAACCTAACCAATCTATCCTAATTCATGTTAATGAGTGTGTTCTTCTGGTTTGTTTGCTCCTCTAATATATAGATGCTACTGTTATGTTCTCTCCTGTGTTAGCTTGGCTTCTTATGTTTTGTCTCTTTTTTTTCCGCAGATCAACAACAAGAAAAACTCCCCGCTCCTCTTCCCTTAATTCTCCATGGTCAATATGGTGGCCGAATCCTACATGGTTGCTCCCTCTTTGGTTGCAACCATGTAGTGGTTGATGGTGAAATATATTGTTCTGACACGCACAAGGAGATGGCCAATTCACTTGCTAGTGAAGGAAAGGCTTATGTGATTGTTGACGGCTTCTTTAACGCAGACCGGGAGAAAAATTTTAGGATTGTTCTTGCGTTGCTGAGAAAGGTTGAAGACAGTGTAGCTGGTGGAATCCCAGAGATTGAAGATGGTGAGATCTTTCAGAAGCTGCCAGTGAATTGGAACTTTATAAATTTGCATTTTCTCCATGGAGAAATGGAACGATCTTGGTTGTTTTACCATAAAAGAAACACTTTAAAGCTCCCTACATTTGAAGTGGGAAATTACACTATTAGATGGTCAAGGTCACACCATGCTGTTTACAAATATGGGGAATATGATGACATCAAGTCTACTGTTTTTTACATGCGATATGACACTAGAAAGGGACAAAAGCCAGTTGAAGGGGATCCATGTGGTTTGAAAGGTTGGTCGTTAAGTGAGCATGTTCACAAATCCACATCACTTTTCTGTCTTACTTACCGCATTGGGAAAGATTACAAGGCTCCTATATTCAACACGTCTAAAGAAGGCGGCAGCGGGAAAAGGAAGAGAGGCTATGATCAGCCAAGTTCCTCTGGTTCAAAGGGAGAAGGTGCATAATAAAGTCTCCAGTCTAGTCTTTCTTTTAGTTTCTGTATTTAAAGGTGCATCATCTGTTGCATGTATCGAGTTCAGAGTGATGTCTTTGTGTAATATGCCTAACTAATTCATGTTATGAACGTGCACTATAACATTCAAATGCTTCTGGAATGTTTGCTCATGTAATATATATGATTCATGTCGCATGTAATACAAATGCTACTGTTATGTTTTGTTTTAACTTGGCTTCTTATCTAAAATTCTTTTGCCTTTTTTTTTCCCAGCACCGGTTGCTACTCTCTTGCCGGAACAACAACAGCGGGAACAACATAAAGAAGAAGAACTAGCTGCTCCCTTTCGCCACGGTCAGTATGGTGGCAGAACCCTTCATGGTTGCTCCCTCTTTGGTTGCAACCATGTAGTGGTTTATGGTGAACGATGCTGCTCCGAGTTTCATGATGAGATGGCTGCTGAACTAGCGAGTCAAGGCAAAGCGTATGTGATTGTTGACGGGTTTTTTGACTCGGGAAGGGAGCGAAATTATCGGATCGTCGTTGCCTTGCTGAGAAAGGTAGAATACAATCTAGCTGGTGGAATCCCTGAGGTTCATGATGTTGAGATCTTTCAGAAGCTGCCAAGAGAGTGGAACTTTATAAATTTGGATTTTCTCCATCAAGAAATGGAACGAGGCTGGTTATTTTTCCATAAAAAAAGCACTCCAGAGTTCCAGATATTCAAAGTGGGAGATAAAACCATTCATTGGTCAAGGTCAAACCCTGTTGTTCACAAATATGGTGAATATGATGAGATCCACTCTACTGTTTCGCAGCTGCAATATTATACTCAGAGGGGGGGGAAGGCAGTAGACGGTGATCCATGTGGTCTAAGAGATTGGTCGTTAAGTGAGCATGTTTACAAATCTACATCACTCTTCTGCCTTAGTTACCACTCGTCGAAAGATGACAAAGCTGGTATATTCACGATGTCTAAAGGAGACGACTGCGGGAAGAGGAAGAGAGGCTTTGATCAGCCGAGTTCCTCTGGTTCAAAGGGAAAAGGAAAAGACAAGACTGTGTTTAAAGGTAAGAAAGTTCCAGTCTTTCTTCGTTTACAAATTTGAGTGTGAAAGATGTTTTTTCCATTAGAAAGTTGGTTTTACAAGTCTCCAGTAATAACAAAAAAGAGTTCCTGTTTGCAGTGTTTTGCTCCTATCTTTGTCCTGTGATGTCTTTGTGTAATATGCCTAACTAGCAAGTAGCAAGAACCTAACCAAACTGTCCTAATTCATGTGGAATGTTTGCTCCTGTAATATATATTCTTCATGTCGTGTGTAACACATGCTAATGTTATCTCTTCTGTTTATATTGGCTTCTTATCTGAAATTGGCTTCATGTCGTGTGTAATACAGATGTTACTGTTATGTCTTCTCATCTTTTGTCTTTTTTTTCATAGATGCTCCTTTGCGGGAAAAACAACAAGAACTCCCAGCCGCTTCTCTTCCGCTACATGGTTGCTCCCTCTTCGGCTGCAACCATGTAGTGGTTGATGGTGAAAGATATTGCTGTGACACTCATAAAGAGATGGTTAGTCAAGGAAACGCATATGTCGTTGTTGACGGGTTTTTTGACGAAAGGGAGCAAAATTATCGGATTGCTGTTGCCTTGCTGAGAAAGGTAGAAGACAATGTAGATGGTGGAATCCCAGAGATCCAAGATGTTGAGATCTTTCAGAAACTGCCAAGTGAGTGGAACTTCATAGATTTGGATTTTCTCAGTCAAGGAAGGGAGCGATCTTGGTTATTTTACCAGCAAAAAAGCACTCCAGAGTTCCAAAGATTCCGAGTGGGAGATAAAACCATTCAATGGTTAAGGTCAAACCATGCTGTTCACAAATTTGGTGAATATGATGAAATCCACTCTACTGTTTCGCAGCTGCGATATCAAATTAAGAGGGGGGAAAGGGCAGTAGACGGTGATCCATGTGGTCTAACAGGTTGGTCGTTGAGTGAGCATGTTTACAAATCCACATCACTCTTCTGCCTTAGTTACTGTTCGTCGAAAGATGACAAAGCTCGTATATTCAACACGTCTAAAGGAGGGAAGAGAGGCTCTAATCAGCAGAGTTCCTCTGGTTCAAAGGGAGAAGGTAGAGACTAGACTGTGTTTCTTAGTTAGTTCCAATCTTTCTTCGTTTGAAAATTGGAGTGTGATCATCATCTGTTGCAGGTATCGATTACAGAAAGTTGTTGTTTGTTGTGTTTGTAGTATAGATGCTTCTGGTATTAGCAATTTTTACATTAGATGACTAATATTCTTGAACTTGTAGATAAAATACCATAGCACAATGATAATGCTTGGAATTTGCTTATGCAGTTAGTTTCTCAAACAATGATCCTCTGTGATTTTCTCATATATGCATTTCTACAAATTGCAATAAAAGCGATCTACAATCTTATCTCATTTCAACAGATGGTAATTTGTCAAGCAAGACGAAATGTTTTATATCAAACATCGACAAAATTACTTAAAACGATAAAACAAACAATTTCTTAGATTATAAGTACAAGTATGATTGTTAGCCATTTAACCTGAACGCATTAGACAAGACAAGCAAGAAAAAGATTTAGATAGTGTAACAAGTAGAAGCAATATACTAAACCAAACCAAGATCGAGTCTTCAAGCCGAACCAAAATTCTAGTTTGGTACGGTTTTCCAAAACCCAAGAAGAAAAAAACTCTGTAATCATCAACAAAAAACATCTACATATAGTTTTTCTATAGATACATACAAATCTGAAAGCTATTAGAACTTAGTAGCAAAGCCTCAGATATAAAACAAGAGATGTGTGGGCACTAGTCATACAACAAACAAACCATAGCATCGGTAACTCCAGGCCTTTCCCAAACTTGTGTGCATCTTTGATCAGCTTGACACTGATGAGAATGTGAGGAATGCACCTCGCAAACACAAATGCTGTCCAGTTTAGTACCCACTCTAGTTTCACCAATGCTGTGTTGCTGTCTCGGATTCCCGCCATTCTCCTTAGCTTCCTCACGTGTAGAAAGATCGAATGCATCTGTTTACACATCAGAATAACTAAGGTCACTTTGGTTCGGATAAGTACATGTTGTGGAGTTGACATTGTAGTCTATATCCAACTAGAGCTATATTAATGTTAGCATAGTATCGGAAAAGAACAGAGAAGAGCCAGGGAAACTTTTCAGGAAGACAGTGGAATGTACCTCACAAATGAGAGTAAGAATCAGGTAGTTGATGGTTACATTTCGGTATAGAGCCAATGTGAAGCAAACGAGGAGGATGAGGTGGTGAACCACAATGGAAGGTATTAAGCCGCTGTATAACCGGTACTGAAGCATATCCCACTGGTCATATGCAAAGTAGCCACATGAGAAACACAAAGCTGGATATGCTCATTTCCAAGTACCACCAACCAACTCAGAATGATCGAACATCTCGTCTAAACCTTTGGCTAAGCATTGATTGAGCAGAATGAAAACCACTGCAATAACACAAGTGCAGTGTTGAAGATGCAAAATCAATCAATATGGTTTGGTGAAGAAAGAACTACATCATACGCAAGATATGGCAAGACAGATGGTGTGATGGTCTTTAAAACCAATTAAGTAATTACATTCAAGGGTGTAAACCAGGTCTCAAATAGAAATAACTACCGAGACTAATGATCAGCATGAATAGTAAAACAGTAGAAGTAACGAATAAGCTCCCCAGACCCAAAGTTTATATAATCAAGGTAAGCTTTATGCACTCCAGCATTTAAGAAGGGTTGCCGCAATCCAAGAAACAAATGGCATTCTGACAGTAAAGCAAAAATTCTGCACTGGTTACTAATCTTAACACGTCCATATATCAACTTATAGACCAAAAAACAAGTTAATCACCCACATCCCGATCATCGAATCAACAAAGCTACATCAAAATTGGAAGTTGAAGAGTTGAGTCTATATAGTCAAGGACATGCTTGTTGGTACAGAACAGACCTTTCATAGCAAAAGATAAAACCTGGAAAATGGCATCAATTAAGTGTTATCTCCCACATGAGATTGTGGCTTATTCTTTACCTCTTTAACCTAAATCATCAAATCTGTCACTCACTAAAATTATACAGGAGATTCAAAGTGATTACAAGAATTAGCATAGAGACAACAACAACTACACCACTAATCAAGCAATCAGAAAAAGAATTCTCTCGGAAATAAGAACTACATTAAGAAATGAACAAATGCAAGCGTGAAAACACACCAGACTAAAGGAAAATTGACCAATACCAAAGACCAATGTGCACACGTATGATGAAAAAATTTCCCCATTAACAGAGCAAAATCCTATAGTAAAAACTCAAAACATAAAAGAAGAGAGGAAAGGGAGGGACCTGATGCAGAGGTGATAATTGAGTGCAAAAGCGAGACAGAGGTATTAACAAAGAGAGGGTCACGATAAATCCAAGAACGAACCACCCAATTCATCAATTGAAAGAAACAACCACCGCAAATCACCCAGAGAAGCTCCGTCCGGAGATTGAAAGCAATCTCAAACACGACGGAGACCAGCCAATGAAGCAGCGTCGCTAGAAAGAACTGCCCAGCAAGATCAGATAAGTCTTAGATGGATGTACTAGACACGGTACTTAAAAAGATAAGCAACAGGCCTTCTTCCCAATGCCAGACCAATGTTATAAATGCTACTATTAAAAAGAAATTTTCACTGTCCTGATATTTTGAGGGATCGAAGTACCTTAAAACGGATCCTTATGACAGTAGGGCGCGTCCCTGGGTACAGAACAGCTGCTTATCTGCAAAAAAAATTCAGGATAATGATGTAATGTTTTTGATTTCCAGCCAATAGGCAGTAAGAGGTATCTAACCTTATCATCTGACATTGACAATGTATAAGTCCCTCTGTAAGTCAACTCTATAACTAGCATATACTGCCAACATTTCAATTTGAAAAATCAATAAAAATAAATCCTAGAATCATGCCTCTCCCCAGACAATGTATTCCCCTCAACTTCCTGAGAAACTTTGTGAACTTCTCAATTCCCTGCAGTTAAAAAATGAATTCCATCAATCAAACTGTTCTTCTGATCACCTATCTAACAAAGAATGCAACTGGAATCATGTCCAAATATACATTAAACCGAAATGATGTTGAAACCAATAACAGTATATTCTAAAATACAAAGTTTCCTTGAACTTGAAGCTAAGGAGTTGTTTCTAAGACATTAGTTCAAAGAGCCAGAATATCCCAGGTTTCAAAATAAGAGAAAGGTAAAGGTTTGATGGAGCTTAAATTTAGCCACCACCTTTTTTCCAAGGTTATGCAAAAGCCTGCTTCCTCTTCTTTTATAATCTCTGTGATCTTCTTTTCATGTTCCTTTAACTCCGTAAAGTAAAGACATCGCCCATCACCCGAATAACAGAACTTACAAGTCTACATGTTAGAATAGACTGGTCAGTGACAGACACACTCACACAGAGACAAAATTAAGATACGTGCGAAACATATGTTGCATTTACACAATATGCTCCAGCCGTAACTACTTACCGTTGAAATACCCTTCCTCGGCTTTTAAAATATCTTTTCCATATCGAACCGCTCCACGAAGAATACTCCTCAGATCATGTTGAAGACCCTCGCTACCTACAAGAGGTGGTAATATTCGCTAAACAAGAGAGTATATATATACATTTCAGTTAAATACCATAACAGATTTACTAATGATCAAATAATAACTGTTTGCAAAAGAAAAGAAAAAATAGCAATTAAGAAATGGAAGAAGAGGGAATACGGCAATACCAGGCCGAGATCCATTCACAATAGCAATTGATAGAGTTCTAATAGGATCAGCGACCACTCTATATGCCGTGCCAACTCTGTCAACATCGTCAGCACCAACTTTTCCAGAGTTGTTAAACTATTTTACAAACACATGTACAGGCTCGTTAATGGAAAAAAATCTAAAAATAGAAATAAGAGAGGGTAAATTAAGGTAAAGAAGCTAGCAAAATTTAGCTACGAGTTGATATGGAGCTGCATTTAGATGATCAATAACATTCTAAAAGAATAACCTTTCAGGCTCCACATATACCAAGATAAATTACGAAGAGAACAGAGAGAGTTTATACCTGAATAAAGACAAGATTCCATATTTCTAAGCAAGTTGGATCATCCTTGTTAACTAAGGATGCAGCATCACGGTCATAATGTATTTCAGTACAAGGTCCACATGGACCAGTGTCTCCCATTTCCCAGAAGTTGTCCTGCAAATATAATAGGTGTTGCTAAATCGAAATGACAAAGAAGGTTACCAAAATTGAAAATCCATGTATCTACATCTGGTAAAAAAATCTGACCCGAAGTCATAAACATCTGTTTTGAAAACTTGCCAAATATCAAAACCTGAAAGTGTATACCTACTCCTAAATCCATTCAAGCCTCCAAGTTCTACAGTTCTTGCTGAAGTAGCAATGTGTCAATATATACCAGAAACATTAGCAATTGATACAAAGATGATAGTCTGAGCAATCAAATAAGAAAAAAAATTTCAAATGAGAACAAAGGGATCACTACAAAAAGGGAAACTATATTATGGAGTAATGAAGTAAACATACTTTGCAATCAAAGGGCATAACTCGTCCAGATGGAAGAAATTTAAGCCATATATCTCCAGCTTCATTATCAGGTTGAAGACCAGCTTTCACATCACCCTCAAAATAGGTAGAGTAAATTCGATCAGTTGGTAGCCCGTAGACCTGAGTCATGAAGAAACAGGGAAGCTTATTCATTAATCAAACTCTAAAAAAAGAAAAAAAGGTTGCCGTAGTTGTGAATTTACCTTTGTTAATAGCTCCCAATCATAAATTTGATGACAATTCCTTTCTCTTTTTCTAATTTCTCAAGCTTTTCCCCTGTGATAGATTACATATAAAAGCTAACTAAGATTAGAGGCAATTTTGCATGAAAGGAACCAGAAATTTGAAGGAGGGACATCACAAAATACCCTGAGGCATCCAAGTCTCTCTAAGCGAATTACGACGTTTTCTACTGCTAAATGCAGTATTGATACCAATAACCATGAAAACTTTCTTCCTTTGGTTTCCTTCTGTTGAAGAATTGGTTGATGTGGCATCCAGAATCTGTTGAGAGCTATGTGTAGTAGAGAGCTGCTTCTGAAGCATAGAAACTGACTTATCCAATGATCTGTTGTCACAACACAAGACTATGATTGTTGGTGCAGGAATTAGCACCTCCGACAATACCGGCTTAAACCGGACGAATTACAAATAAATCTGAGAATTCAGTTACCTGGCGAATTCAGAGAAAGGAGGTCACCTGGCGAGCTCGGTCCGAAGACGGGAGATCGCCTAAACCGAGTTCTCATTCAAGAAAAAGGAAAATTCGAAGATAAGACTCCGAAGATTTAGAAGATTAACATATTTTTAAACCGTCTTAGTTTTGTATAAATAGGGGGCGGGGGGGGGGGGGGGGGGGGGGGGTTGTCCTCTATTCAAGGGATCAGCAACTTTGCACAAAAAAACCCTAATTGTTCTTGAGCTAAACCCTAGCGTTGTCTCTAAGCAATAAAATTCATCATTCTTTTTGAGTCTTTGGTCACAAATAGCAAGAGAGTTAATTGAATTTGTTCTCTTCCTTTAAACAAATTCATTGTGTGATTTTCAGAATCAACAATGATCATCAAAACATTCCTAATCAACATGCAAGTCTAAGATTTACAAAAAAAATAATCATTTGTTTTTAATATAATTTCACTCACTCGGATTAAAAAAATGAGTTTTTTAACACCAAAATAATACTTTTAGGAGAAATTCAGATTCAATGAGATTCAAGATTTAAGAAAAATACTTTCTCATGAGCATAATCTTGGGTAACAATCTTAAGTTCCTGATCACGCCGGTGCTGTAAAATGAGCTGGCTACCGGAATCCGAAGACGCTGATCGCAATCTGAAAATGTAAAAACAACAAAAACAATGAAAAAGCAAAAATACATGAATTTATTTTGTAAGATAAGAAGAAACTTAAAAAGAAACAGAACTTGGAGGTGAAGATTGCTCCGAGGAAAAAGCAAGAAATGCAAAGAATAGGAACCCATGTCATAGTTAGTCTCTTGGAGACTTTGTTGTGCTTCATTGTGAGCAGAGCCGGCCATAGGCAGAAGTTGGTGAAGCATGTGCTTGCGGCCCCAAAATATATAGTTCTTAATCGGCCCGATATAAGTAAAAGTCTCTTTAGTCTAATGGTTCAAGGGTATGGAAATATTACAAGTATCTCAAGTTCGATTCCTCAGTGTAACACTTTTTACCTGTTTTGATTTTTTATCCCATGTATTCGCATGTGCCTCCTCATTGCTTGTATCAGCTCCCACACGTGCTTATCAGCATATTGCAGACAAATGTGGAGCTGTTTTGATGTTTGACATGGCACAGATTAGCGGTCTTGTCGCTGCCAAGGTGTGTTCATTCTCATTTTCCATATTGCGTTATATATGGATTGTTTTTCTTTTGCATTAGTCATTAAACTTGAAGCTTAAGCACATGATCTTTGTGTTTACTCAGTGATATCTATTTAGCCTGCTTTTCTTGGCATTCTCTTGACGTTTTTGTTTCTGTCAATGTTGTAGGAAAGTCCAAATCCATTCGATTATTGTGATATTGTTACCTCAACAACACACAAGTCTCTCCGTGGACCTAGGGGCGGCATCATATTTTACAGGAGAGGCTTGAAGCCCAAGAAGCAAAGCATGAATCTTAATCACTGTGAGAGCAATATCCAGTATGATTTTGAAGAAAAAATCAACTTTTCTGTCTTTCCATCGTTGCAAGGCGGGCCTCACAATAACCATATAGCTGCTCTAGCCATTGCCCTCAAGCAGGCCGCTTCACCAGAGTACAAGCTTTACATGCGACAGGTCAAAAAAAATGCCAAGGCTTTAGCATCTGCTTTGATAAGCAGAAATTGCAAGTTGATAATAGGTGGCACCGATAATCATTTGCTTCTCTGGGATTTGACATGACACCTTTGGGCTTGACAGGTATGTGATTAGTTCCTCTTATGCTTAGCAGATATGGAAATTACTCCCACTATGTGATTTAATGCCTCATATAAGCTATTGGCAGCATTGCAACTGTGTCTGATTTTCCATGGTGTTACATCTACTTACCATTTGTCATGTGTCTATAGGCAAAATTTTACCAAGCTATTCAAGACAGCGTCTGAGTTTCTTAGTGTATCTCTTATTTCTCATCTCTCTAGGTTGTGAATAGCCTACATGACTAGCTTGATGGCCAATGATCATTCTGAAATTTCTTATCAAACTTGTTTGAGATCGTAACTAAACTTATATGTCTAGTTTCCCAAAGTCAAAGTCTCACTTTTTCGACGTCTGTACAATGCATATGTTTAGCTCTGTGTCCAAAGGCGACTTAAATCTTGCGCCTTGTGACTTTTCAGGCAAGGTGTATGAGAAAGTATGCGAGATGTGCCATATCACGGTCAACAAAGTCGCCATTTTCAGCGAGAATGGTGTTATTTCCCCTGGAGGAGTGAGAATAGGTAAGCAAATTAAATTCTCAAGGAAATTTTAACACTTTGGAATTAGAATGAAACTCAGTGTGGTTTGAGTTCTTTTTTCTTGTTGTATGATTCTTGACAATGTGCTCATATATCAGGCAGTCCGGCTATGACCTCAAGAGGTTGTTTAGAACCAGAATTTGAGACAATGGCTGAGTTTCTATATAGAGCTGCTCAGATAGCTAGTGCTGCACAAAGGGAACACGGGAAGTTGCAAAAGGAACCGCTTAAAAGCATCTATCACTGTAAAGAGATTGCGGATCTTCGGAACCAAGTCGAAGCTTTTGCTACCCAGTTTGCAATGCCGGCCTTTGACATGTGAGTCAGCCTGAAGAACGAGACCAACTCAGTATCTCTCATTTTTTTGTTGCCATGGTAATCTAAATCCATACACCCATTTCTCTATTTTACAATGTCAACATTCCCTAAATTGGCTAAACTTAGATCAATATTTGCGGGGGAAAAACAAACTTTTGTGAGTTGCTATGGTCGTTTATTATTCAATGCTTGTGTACATAGACATTGGGGCTGTGTTGGGTATTAGTGTATCCCCTTATGTTCTTTTAAAATGGTAATAATAATGCAGTTGATGAAATTTTTTTATATAGAAAAGGGAATAATATACTTTCAAGATGTTTATATGTTGGGGAACACAAATAATTTCTGTAACCAGAGGAAAACTTGCTTCTGACCTCAATCATTACTATTTTCCTTCAAGAGAATCATTATATTCTGAAGAAGAGAAAAACAAAAAAACTGAGACAAAAGGAATATACATAATTTGTTTATTTTGTTATGATTTTTGTATTTAAATCATTTTGTGTAAGTAGTAATGTTTATTTGGTAAATCAGCTGAGAAAGTTGGTGTTGGTGTCCTACTGAGGAGGCAAAGCATGGAATTCTGGTGAGAGTCTCTAAAAGCATATTTAGATTCTGCAATTTTTTTGGTTTTGATAATGACATCTCTCCTCATCTATATTATTTTATTATTTATTACTATCATTCATATCTTATTTACTTATATTGAATTTATTTTTAAGCCCTATAAGTTTTTTGATGAAATAAATATAGCTGGCCAAAGAGACAAATTAAAGAGATAGGAAAATGCTTTCTTAATTGTTACTAATAATCTTGATGATGTTCTTAAGCTTAGTAACTTAGATAAAACTTTAAACTTCATTCATGTGAATTCTCTTGTGTCGTATGCACTTAGTGAAGTTTGATTTTTGGAATGATGATTGTTATTATGACAAGAGTGTAGTAGATAGTTGAACATTTTTTTCCCGCTATAGATGAATTTTTTTGGACGTTTAAAATATTTTGATAAACTAAATGTTACTATGTTAGATATGATTGTTCTCTAGTTGCTTTAACTTTTTTTTTGCTATTGGAAATCAAGAATTAAGAGAGCTAATAGTAATGGGAAATGGCACTTTTGGTACTTGATTACTCATATACCAAGTGATTCTTGAGGGTTGAGATTTACTGATAGATAGATACAGAGACAAAAAAAGATATATAATATTTTGTCAAAATTGTTCTTTTTGGGTAGAAAAAGGAGAAAAGCAAAGATGAGTGAATTGTGTGTAAAGCAAATCTTATATAATATGAGAAGGTTTTCTTCTAACTTTTCCTACCATTGCGACATTTGGCACTCTCTTTTGGTGACATGTGTCCTCTTTCATTTCTTATATAATATGAGAAGGTTTTCTTCTAACTTTTCCTACCATTGCGACATTTGGCACTCTCTTTTGGTGACATGTGTCCTCTTTCATTTCATTAATGTTTGTTTTAATTTATTTAAAATCCTTAGTTTTGAAAGTTTGTACCTACAATTTAATTCCAAAAAAGATATTTCTCTTATCCTATTGATACATTTGACATGTATTTAAATTGAAATTTGTATCTAATTTGTTTTGCCAAAATTATTATGGGAGACTCACAAAAATGCCCCTTTTTCAATACCCCTTTTCAAAAATGCCCCCTTTGGCTGTCCATTTTTAAAAATACCCCTTTTTATGTACAAAATGACTAAATTACCCTTCTTTTAATAAAAGATATCACAAATATATAAGGAAATATAACAAAATTAGGTCCACAAAATACAAAATATTTTTTGGCGGGAAAAGTGATCCCACAATTTTTCCCGCCAAAACACTTGTAAAAACTTGTAAAACCTTTAAAATACCTTGTAAAATTTTCCCGCCAAAAATTTTTTTTTGCGGGAAAAGTGATTCCGCAATTTTTTTGGCATTAAATTTTTGGCGGGAAAAATTTACAAGGTATTTTAAAGGTTTTTTACAAGGTATTTATAAGGTTTTACAATGTATTTTAAAAGGTTTTACAACGTATTTATAAGGTATTTATAAGATATTATAAGATTTTACAAGCTATTTTATAAGGTTTTACAAGTTTTTTATAAGGTTTTACAAGGTATAAGTACCTTGTAAAACCTTTTAAAATACTTTGTAAAACCTTACAAAACACTTGTAAATACTCTGTAAAACCTTTAAAATACCTTGTAAATTTTTCCCGCCAAAAATTTTCCCGCCAAAAAAATTTCGCCAAAAAAATTGCGGAATCACTTTTCCCGCCAAAAAATATTTTGTATTTTGTGGACCTAATTTTGTTTCAAATAAGGGTAAAATGGTCATTAAAAATTAAAAGAGGGCAAACTTAAAAATGGACTCTCAAAGGGGGCATTTTTGAAAAGGGGTATTGAAAAAGGGGCATTTTTAACAATTTCTCAATTATTATCTACTTAATCACCACTTATTCATCTGATTCAAAAAAATGGATCAGTAAAATTTTAACTTCACAAAATATTAGTACATTTTTAAAACTTCTCATAACATTAGTACATTTGGCATCTATTTTTACATTTAATTGTTTTCCTCATTTTTCTATCTTACATAATATTTTCATATCTCCATAAAATACATTTCTAATCTTTTCTAATTTGTCTCTCTTTTTTTTCTTCTTTCCAATCTAACTTTTTTTATAAAAAACATTTATAACACCAATTTATTCTCACCTGTTACAACTCCAAGTTGGAGTATTTATTTACAATTTTTATTACACAATACATTTAATGTATTTATATAGTATAATAAAATTTACAGGAATTATTAATGTATTATTAATTTATTATTAAATTATTTAAAACTTCTATAAATTAATACTCTATACATTAATAACCTCTCTAAATTAATAAATTCTTTAGGTTCCGAGTTAGGACCAGTGTAAAATATGACATAAATCGATAAATTAATAAGATAATAATTTTTTTCCGAGTTGGTCCCAACATTATTAATTTATAAAGGTTTTACTGTATATTGTTTTATAAATGTCTCAGTAAATGAAATTCTAACTTATGTAACAGTTAATGTAATTTTAATAAAGAAATATAGTAACGTGCATTATATTAATGTATTGCTCCATGTGTTACGCCTTCTCTCAAAATAAATATTTGCGACGAGTTTTCTTCTCCAGTAACGCTTTTCATGTGGCTTCTAATACCGAAATATATTAGTGTTTTTATTTTTGTTCTGGAATTAGTTACCCAAAGTAAAACCCACAAATGAACTTATTAAAACATATGTAACGTCAAATAACTCTAAATTGATGCATTAGGCTAACAGATAACCATAATAACTCCAATTAATTCAAAACATTAAATCTAATTAATTTTAGAGTGTAAATTAATACTCTAAATATTGACTCCAATTAATCTACTTCTATATATTACCCACATGTGAAGCTAAAAAAACTATTGTAGAGTTTTTGCTTTTTCCAGTCCATTCTTTTATTTTTATTGACTTTTAGTTGCTTTCTCTTTATTTCAGGCTATCGTCCACATAGTAAAAATATCTACAACAGTTTTCTCATTTGGTGTTCAAGTTAGGTTTGTGATTTCATATGGTGTTCAAGTTAGGTTCACTAACACCATTAGTTCTACATAAAAGTGTTCTATTTTTTAAAAAGTTCTATTTTTAATTGTTTCTCTATTTTTCAACTCACCAATAAGATTTATATACATACATTGAGAAAATATATATCTATTATTATGGTCAGTTAAAGTGTAATTATAAATTTAAGTATTTAGATAAATGGCATTACATTATATTTATTAAATTTTTTACTCTTATGATCTATATGTATTCATAAATTTGAAAACCATAAGTTTGTTAAAATATTTATGATATAAATTGAAAAACCATTTATGTAATTATTCTCAACATCACTTATCAAAAAGTTAAGAGTTTGTTTTCAAATTTATGAATACGTAAAGTTGTTTCAAGATGATTTTGTTCTTGAATACGTAAAACTCATGCGATCATGAGTCATTCTTTATTTGATAGTTTATGCCATTCTTTATTTCTTTTACATAATTACTCAACGTTTGAGAGGGATCGACGTTTGAGTTTCATATATCTCGAGTATATAGTTTTTTTTATTTTATTTTTAATATTGTATAACATTTGACTTGATTATGTTTTGAATTCAATTTTTTTTAGTCAATCATACAAATTAAGTAAGAAATAAAGATCAATGAAAGAATATAAAATTTGTATTTATTTTTATCAAAGTTTCCATAAAACAAACCCAATGAAATTCAACCAAAAAATTTAAAAAGTTCCACCAAAGGTTTTTTTTTAATCTATCCTCATGGGATTTTTGAAAAGAATTATGTTTGCTAAGGGTAATTGCATAGAATATCATAATTGACTAATTCAGTTAAAACCTAACATGCCATTAAAGTATTTAGATAAACGGCATTACATTATATTTATTAAATTTTTGTACTCTTATGAGTTATGACCTATATATATATACAAAGTTTATAAAATGGCATTTTTTTTTTCAAACAATTGAATTTGTATATATATATATATATATATATCAAAACTGAACTAAATTTTTTTAATATAAACTTTCAAAGATAAATTTTTTATTATATCATCTGAAGTCATTTTCCTAAATTAAATATGATTATAATTAAGTGTAACATATATATTTGTTTTTTGAGCATAGGCTAATTCAATTTAACTTAGGTTTGGGCCAGGCCCATTACAAGAGAAACCAGAGACTGTTTTACCAATGAATCGGCATTTGAGTTCTGCAAACGGGGAATGAAACTAAACGAAACAATATCAAAGGTAGAAGATAAATTCAGGATATCGAAAAGAATCCCATGAAGCTCCTTGTGTTGAAGCTCCGATTTTAAAGCTTTGACTAGCTGTGCTGAGTCGGAAGCGAGAGAGAGATGTGAAAAAACCAGATTAACATATATAAAATATGTTTTTGCTCATTTGGACCACCTTGCTATTTTATTAAATTTAATCATTATCACAAATTATTTAGCAAAAAAAATAATAAATATGATTATGTTTTACCTTTGATCTCCTAATTTTAGTATGGATTATACGGATATAATATCTAAAGCTTATTGTCAAGGGAAAGTCATGAGGTCAGGAAGATCTACCTTCTGATGAGATCCAACGAGGGAAAACGGCCAATATCAACCCCAATTATCAACTCGAACCCACATAAATTTCAAATAACAAACCTGAACTATGTAATCGTTAGCTAA